GGCGGGCAGGGGTGCGCGATGTCGGCGCAGCATCGCTGGGAAGCACGTGCCTTCGTGCCAGTTGCCTCCCACGTGCGGCATGGACGAACACTTGGGCATAGAGTGCTCTGCAGCGGAAACCATGAGACGCTGATTTAATGTTTGGTTTTCAATCCTTCCGTGCTCCTTTTACCTTAGTGGAGATTGAGAAACTCTCTTCTGATGGTGGGTGCTGCTTGCAGAAGCGACAGGCAACCCCAGAATGAGAGTTTGGTTTCTGTAGAGACGAGCCTCATGACAAATACAGAAACATGCTTTCTAATTTGGGGTTTTGTTATGTGGGCGGATGCTGTAAGATAAACCAGTTGCCAGGAACTGTCATCCCAGTGCTCACCTCCGCCATGGCAGTTACTGGCTAGGAAGATTGAATGGCCAGAAGTGCTAAAATCCTCAGTTTTGCGTCTGTAGAGCAAATGGCTGCAAACCTTGTCCGTTCAGCCTTGCCTGCGTGGGGCCCGCGCCAGCTCGGTGCTGACACAGCCTCTGCCCGCGCCTCTGCTGCAGCATCTTTCTCCTTTCAGATCGCCGTCCGAGCCGTGACCCACTTTGGTCCTGCTTTGAAGGAGACGGAAGGTGGCGGGGACGCAGCGGGGATGGATGCAGTTACATCAGCGGGAGTTTTCTGCAGGCTGCGGTGTGGAAGGTATGCCCTGATCCCTGCTTGCAGTTCGGCTCAGCTTTGGGGGAAACATGTAAAACCCACCATCTACCCGAGGGACTCAGAAACGTCATACGCAGCCACGTGTTCTCACAGAGCTGTTCAAATAACCAAAGCTTTTAACCAGCCCGTGTGAAATGGTAACCTGCCATTTCAGCCCACTTCTTAATGTTCTTTCATGTGCTTTTAACTGGAGGTTTACATAACCCGCTGCCAAGTCCTTCCCACATGCGGGGACTTAAACTCCGGAAGAGGAAATATTGTAAAGGAGTATGTTAACTTGATAGGTTCAGCACCAAAACACCGAAGAAGAAACCCACCTCCCTCCTTCCTCACAGATTTTGTCTGGCTCGTATGCCAACTTCTTAATGTTCTTTCATGTGCTTTTAACTGGAGGTTTACATAACCCGCTGCCAAGTCCTTCCCACATGCGGGGACTTAAACTCCGGAAGAGGAAATATTGTAAAGGAGTATGTTAACTTGATAGGTTCAGCACCAAAACACCGAAGAAGAAACCCACCTCCCTCCTTCCTCACAGATTTTGTCTGGCTCGTATGCCACGCACATACTTTCAGTTTTTCTTATGAAGAGATAAAGGTATCATTCTTACCACGTCTCCACAGCGGGAAACCTTTGTCCCAGTCCAGAGAGCACTGGTGATACAGCAGCTGAGCGTACGGTTTTTTCTTCTCTCCTAGCTGACTGCATTGCAGTGCTACTGAGTTCACAAGGTACCAGGATTGCTCCACACTCCTCCTTGCACAGCTAGAGCCTACTTACCCCTTTTCCCTGGCACCTGACAGGGGAGGGAAATGAGTGTTAGAACAAACAGGATGCAATAAACAATACCGGTTTGTTCCTGGTGCAGCTCTTGCTGCTGAAACAAATACAGAAAATAAAGTTTCAGCCAGCTCCACGGATTCCAGACTAACTGAAGCTGGCTGCTGGCTGCTTCTTTTCACGTACCTGTAAGCAGTGACTTGCTGCCGCACTTCTGCTGATAACACCACGTCCTCAAAAAAGCAGCAGAGCTGACGCATCGGTGCCCTGTCTATTGCCACCTTACCGAAGTGGCGGTAGCAGGAAGAGCTGTGAAGCCCATCGGCAGCGGGGAGGGAGACCTGCCCTAGGGCTGATGGCCGTTGTGCTCGTGTGGCAGCTCTCGGTGGGGTGTGCAGGGTTAAAGCTAGGCTGCGGTTCTGCCCATTCTTGGTGTGGTTTTATACAGGGGTTGATTCGGCAAAGCAGGGGGAGACCCTGCTGTTGGGAGGGGTGTGAAGAAGGACTGCCTATACCGTGAGCTGTCCTTTACAGCTGTAGCAGCTCTCCATGCTGTAGAAGTCAATATGCACTGATTGATGAGCTGAATGACTTCACATTCTCTGCTGAAGTATGACTTACACCATCTCTTGCAACAGTAAGTTTCAGACTTTGGCTAGATTCTGCACGAAGGGAATGCAAACCTTTATTTCCACAGCCATGCCAACCAAATAAAAAAACAAATGTGGTAACAGAGGAAGAAATGAGCTCTTTGGTAATTCCTTAGAGAGCACAAATGTGGTGAGACTGTCGCCTGGACTTGGTGCCAAACCTGAAATGGCTGGAGAGTGAAGCGGCAGAGTAGGGTGGTCATACATCAGGGCTTGCTCCAGCAGAAAGGAGCTCCTTCAAGCCAGGTACGGGTGGTTTCAGAGCTCAGTAGCACCCTGAGCACCAAGGAGAAATGCAGCAGAGGCTGTTCTACCCTCCTGCATCACCAGTACACTCCTTCCAAGCTTCCCTTTGCCTCAGGAGAGTACAGGCTCCTCTGCAGCCTTTGCCTACTGCAAAGCATGGTTCAGGCTGCCACCCGTGTACTGCGAGCCCAGCTCCTCGTCCCGCTCTGCCGGCTGGGTTTTTCACTTCCTGACTTTTCTAGAAAAGTGACAGGTTAGATCTCTTTGGGTGCTTACATTCCTTCTTTACTTTTTCATCTCCTTCATAGCCTTTTATAGACAAACCTTGTGGGAAATGCTAAAGGATCAGAGTAGGGCTCAATAAATCTGGACTTGAGTCTGCTAGCAATCCTGTGGCACAAGGACTCAGCTTTCTGCCCCTGCACCAAGCATTTCTTCAGAGTGATTGATGGGTTTTCTTGCCCATATTCCCTTTCAAAAAACTAAATAAAGTTATTACTGTATCAAGCTAATTCAGTGAACCCACTGCATTCTCTTGAGAAAGATTTCAGGACATTAGAGGCAGCATTTAACACAACTTTTCAACCACAAGATAAAACGAAAAGGGTAGAGACACCAAGTGCTGCTCTTCATTCCATAAAGAGCCACTGGTAGCAAGGCTGGTTGTGTGGAAACCATCCCTACCACGAGTATTTTCACAAAAAGAAACAAACCGAAAGCATGGATTAATTCCTGGAGATGCTGCTGACACTGCTGCCTTTATCAGAGAAAGAAAGGTGGCATTCACTGGGGCTGGGCCATTGCTTTCTGTATGCAGTAAAGTAACAGGGCATCAGTCTGTTTATTGTGATCTGCTTTATCTCCTAGTGTAGCCACCGATCCTCAGAAGTCAGATTTCATGCTGTATCCGAAGCACGGATAGCTTGCCCTGGCTGCTCTCTCTGCTTGACAAGAGAACGAAATAAAATAGCAACCAAGCATTTACACGTCCCAGCACATTCAGCTGTCTCCTGGCTCACCTTGGACAGGGTCATTTTTGCAGGCTGACCGCCACACATGATCACGGACACATCCAACGAGCTGCAAAGGTCAGTCCCGTGCATGCAGCCCCGTCTGGGAACGATGCGGGATCTGCCGGGTGCCTTCAGGACATCAGCTGGCTGTCAGCCCGCAGAGTGCACAGTCAGGGCACTCCCAGCCTCGGGTGCACCAAGACCCTTTCCAAAACACGGCCACCGGCCCTAGAGCCACGGCTGAAGGCTCCTGGAGCATCCGCACCACTTGGGAGGTGATGGCAGCCACTGTACCCTAGGCACCCCCCAAACAAGCATTCTCGGCAGTAACTTGCTGCATTTATCCCTAACCTCGGCCGCTGAGACAGCCTGGTTGGTGCTTTGGTTACAGGCAGAACCTTGCCCACAACTTCTTTTTAAAGAAAAGAGACTTTGAGATGTCTTAATTACAAAATAACATTTAAAAGTTGTCAGGGTTTATTATCTTGTCACACAGAGTAATGATTCACTTAACATGTTGTAACCAGAAGGTTAACAGTAGGCTGAGCCATTCCCTTCCCCTCCGTATTCTACAGTGCCACGAGTATGGCGTTGCAGTGGAATACAAAACTTGGAGTATGTGGAAGGACATTACAATTAAAAAGTGGATTTTTACCCAAATGACCTGGAAAGCATTTCCAAGCACCATGCCATTTCAGGTTGCTCTGCTCTGACATCCTTCCTCTGCTTGTACCCTTTTCAGTGGGAGAACTGAGATTTCCAGGCTGTGCTCCCGTGTCCACGGGGGACACCACGGACTGGCTCTTCACGACAGAGGAGGAACAGCACGACGTGACATCCGCTTGCATTGACTGGGCTGCCAGCGTGGTCCCTTTCTGCAGCACTTCAGTGTAGCTACTTGAGTGCACTAAAACCAAACAAAACCCCACGACGACACACAAGTTTTTATGGCGAGGAAGCTGAAGCTCAAAATACACGCAGTGACTGACAAGCCCAGAGTCTTGGTGTGTGGCTGCACGTTGCAGTACCGTTGTGATCACATCTGACAAGTGTTCCAGCTGTTTCAAGAACTGCTGTGGCTGCAGGAGGCACCTATAGATTGGGCCTGGCTTGGGGAACTTTGTAGAGTGATTTTCTTCCTGCTCATTCCTGCGGATCCCCACGGAGACCTCTACAGTGTAAGTGCCTCGGATGGTTCTGCTTTTCCAAAGCCCGGAACAAACAAACAATTCAGTTTGCTGCTTCAGACCTCTCTTAATGTGTCCATTGCCAAGTTACTTGTTGGGGCTGGACTTCGGGGTTGGGGGTTTTTTTTTGGTGGTTTTGTTTTGTTTCTTTAATGCGGGGCTTATTGCTATTCCATTGTCAATAGTGCGTAGCAGAAAGAGCTGAGATTTAACAGAACTAACACTCTTTGGAACCTCAACAGCAGGCTGTGTGTTGTGGCTGATGTGCTTTCACAATCCCTTTCTTTCCAGTTTTTCCAGTATGGCCTGAATTCTGTGGACGGACTCTTTCCTGGCCTGCCGAACACTGTCCTGGCCACCAGTCTCGATGGAATCCAGTTCCAACAGCAGCTTGGTCAACATCTCCTCCAGAAGCCGGTAGGATTTATCTGTCTTTTTTCCTACAAATTCATCCACCTCCTGCTCCAGCTGTTCAGCCTCCCCCATAACGTGGAGGATTCTCTGAATCTCTGGCTGGATGGCTGCAGAATTTGTTGAAGGCTGGCCACCAGGTTTAAAGCCAGCCTCCCGGTTCCCAGCCAAAAGCTTCCGAGATGCACTGTCATACATTTGGGGCTGTGCGCTGTACTGCACCTTGGGGTTTGAAAGGGGTGGCCTGGCGTTGAGCGGAGTGGCTGGCTTGTGGTCATTAATTGTCCCAGAGTGCTGGTGATTGACATCGGAATAGTAGTTGTGCCGGTTTGCGCTTTGCTCAGGTTTGTCGTAAGCAGTATCCTACAGTCAGAAGGGAAAAAAAAAATCTTTAAGTGCATTTCCCTTAAAGCCAAGTTTTTAATCTTGCACTCAAAAGGCAGGCAAGCAGGGCTGAGGGAATTGGGCAGCAGGTGACACCGTGACTGCTTTGAGTGTGCATGCCTGGGAGGACAGGGCAGACCGGGTTAGGCATGACGTTACCAGGGATCCAGGCAGCATTTCTGAGACTGTCACACACCGTGATGTCATAACACATCACGTCCCTGCGGGCTGGCACCCTGTGTCTTGCCAAGCGGGCTGGTTTCTGCGAGAAGTCCCAAAGAGGGACATGGGACCCACGCTCCAGTCCCTGGCCGTTAAAGAGCAGATCCCTGGCAAGAAGCACGCGTCTAGAAGAAACAGCGTGAGCCGCTGAATCCTTGTTACCCATGAATAGGGGAGATGCTAAGTAGATTTCAACACGGTCCCACTTGGATATTTTGGAGAAGACACTTCTCTGCAGGTAGCAGAGAACACTTCTGAACCGTTCCCAAATAACAGCAGCCCCCACCCCCGAATCCACGCATCCCCCCATCGGGGCGGCTGCTGCACAGGCCAGCGCTGCTGCCTGGGCACCAAACCTCTGGAGAGTCATTTGACTCCTGATCAAACCCAGAGGAAGCTGAGATGAACAGACCCCACCAAATGCATCATTTCCTTAGATTTTTTGCTTAAAACATTCCTCAGCAGAGGATCACTGTGCCCAAACCAAGCACTTATAGAGGAATACCAGAGTCTGCAAAATGACCCGCAGGTTAGTCCCACACTCTACAGGAGGATTTCTGACAGTGTTAGCTGCTTGAGAGAAAAGAGCTGGACAAGCGAGACAAGGTCTGACCCATTTCAAGACCTGCCCTGGGACGTCTGGTATCTCCAGTACCTTTCTGGAATTACAGCCATGGATTTTGGTTGTCTGTTTGCAAACAGGAGATTTTGCTGGCAGTACTCTGGATACCTGCTGCTTTGTTTCTATCTAAACTAACTGTGCTCGGAGAAACGGGCATTCCCAGGAGACAGAGGCAGGCTTTGAGGAAAGCCGTATAATCTAGGAGGTCTGACGGCAGCCAGGACGCAGCACAGGCACGCGCTGTAGAAGCATCAGCTGTACCTTTGCGTCCCATGCAGGAGGGTGGGAAGGCGCTCCGCTGCCAGTCCAGGATGGGTGCGATTCGGAGACGAACGGGTTCCCGTGCGCCGAAGCAGCGGGCCATGCGTAACGCGGCTGCACCCCATAGACGGTGGGGGGAGCCCACGTGTCCTCCGGGGGTCTGGGCTGTGGCAGAGGCCCCTGCGGTGTGACCCCTGGATTGTTGTCTCCGTACGGATACTGTGGGATGGGCATTCCCGGGGTCTGCAAGAAGAGGGGGGACAGTCGTTACGCCTGGAGTCACTCCAAGCGCTGCTCCCTCCAGACAGCCCTGGGAACAGCCACAGCATCAGGCTTGCTGCCCAATTCCTGCTTTCCTAGCCCACAACCTTGGAGTCTCTGCAGAATGGGGTGACCACCAGTTTTTATGAGAATAAAACCAGGCAGGGCAAGCTGCTCAAGGCACAACAGCCATTAGGACCCGCGGATCCATCGGAGCAGGCACTGCGGGCTTTCCCTCCGCTGCGGCCCCATAAAACAACTTCTCGTGTCCCAGGAACTGCAAGCCCAGCAGCTGCACCGACACCGGGGGCTGCAGGGGCTGGAAACTGCTGTGGCCGGTGCCCCGGCTCTTACCCGCGGGGGCGGAGAGCGAGG